TTTTCTCTCTCTTGTTTTCACTTTCCTTTTTACTATGATTTTTTTGAGAAAAAAGGTGAGTTCCACACACCCTCCCACTCAATTCTGTTCATTCCACACATAAAAATACCCCCCGTAGATATGTGTACAAATGAAATGTGGATTAATTTTTGATATATCCAAATCACTGTACGAATGCAGAGAAGAGAAATCTCTGATTGGATCAATTCTCTCTTTTTTTTTTTTAAGTAAAAATAAAAGAAGAAAAGAAACTTACACCACGTCAAAGACAAAAAAAAAAAAAAAACGATGAAGGGCAAATGACATAATAATAATAATAAAAAAAAAAAGAAAGAAACAAAAAAAAAAGGGGGCAAATCCAAGAAAAAACAATAACACATGGTGTTAATAAAAAGGGAGTTGCGTGTAGTAATGTAATCACCGGCGCGATATATGCAATTGAAAAGAAGAACAAGTAAAAAAAAAAAAAAAACAACAATAATAATAAAAAAACAAACAAACAAAGAACTACCAAATAATAATAATCATCATCAGCATTAGCAAGAACAACAAGGGGAAAAACTATGAACGCCTGTACACTCACATACATACATACATACATACATACATATATATATATATATATTGCTCCACTTTAATTATACTTTTATTTTTTTTTCTTTCTTCTTTTCCCTTTTTCTTTTTGCTTTTCTCATCATCCTTTTCTTTTTTCTTAAATTTTTTCTTTTCTTTGCCTCTTGATAGTCTACCAATTTCACTTTTACCTTCTCACCCCCACCACCCCCTAAAAAAGGAAACAAACATGCCTGTTAAGGCATAAGAGTAACTATATATATATATAGGAATGAATGAATGAAGGAATTATTTAGTGAGAGGAAAAAAAAAAAAAAAACAATACATTAATCCCTAAAACCAAGAAACATTTGCTGGTCCTCGTGTTTGATTTCTTGGACTGAACTTCATACTTCCACTGTTGCTGTTCGCCAGTCGTCCTCTCGCACTCTGCGGCTGACTGGATGGTGCCTCCTCCTCCCCAAACTTGGATCGCATCAACTCCTGAAAGACCACCAGTGGTGTGCGGAGATGCCCATCCCTCACGGCGGGGAGTTGCTTCACATACATATCCTTCGATCGCCGCTGCAGAAATCCGGGTTGGAGGAATCTTTTATTCATCAACACATCCCGCACGGGGCGCAGGACATCCTCTGGCACCATTGGGGCGAGTGGGTCCTCCTCCTCTGGGAGAATGCCATCATCTTCCTCCTCCATCGCCGCCGCGGTGAGGGTGTCGCTCATTGTATTCATATTCATATTGTTTGCCGCCTGTCGGGGTGTGCGGCTGGTCTCGCGTGGGGATTGTGTTAACGAGCGGTACGCCCGTGCGGATGAGGGAGAGGCGTTTTGTCGTGCAGAGGCCGCCGCCTCCCGCTGTTCCCGCAGACGTTGTTGTTTTTCCTTTTCCATTAACTCCAATCCCTCTTTTCGTGTGAGGAGATGTGGCATGATTTGTTTCTGCACAAACCCATCCGCAATAAATTGCTGTAAAACCATGGCCTCTTCATTTAATTCCGCATGTGTGAAAGAAGTGGCATATGGGTTCTTTGCATGTCCAGAGGAAACACCCCAATTGGATCCCAATAAGAAATAACGTGGAGGACAGGAAGTAAAAGGACGAAGGGCCTTTACAGGAACATCAATGGTTGTACCCACCTTTTGAGAAATCTTAGAAGGGGCCATAATACAGTAGTAATTCTCCTCTGCCCCAAATTCAGGATCAAAGAAATACTCCGCCACAGTTCCTTGACATTGAAAGTTGTGAAGTTCATTATCATTTGCAATGGCTGTGCGAATAACGGCGGCAAAACGATAACGTTCTTCTTGTCCATGCAGGAAAGCCCCACGAGGACGACGATCATCATGAGAATCCACCACCATTAAAAGTACCTTTTCATTCGTATTATCATACACCATCATATCCAATTCTCCCTTTACAATTGTATTGGGATCATTATTTTGCATATGTGTATACTTGACTGGAGATAAAACAACAATGTGTGGAAATCCACGAGGTTCGGCAACATTTTTAACAAAATTCAATCGATGAGCTGTATTAAGTGAAGGAATATAATTACTCTTTTGTGGTTGCCAAAGTTTCTTATATTCTTCCGCTGTTGTTACATTCTTTCCTACCAATTTATTAGGTCCAATTTGTGGGGCATCTGCGGTAATACTTGCAAGGAACCAGTAACGAAATGTTTCTAAATCCTTTAATGGTTTTAATGCCTGCATAGCTTCACGGTTTGTAAGATTTGTATTCTTTAACAAAGCATCCCAATCTTCTGTGGCGAGAATACTTACATAATTCTTATGGCATTGTTCCACAATCTTAGGAAGTGAATATTGAGCCACACGGCGACTTTTCATAATTTCGTTATTTGCCGGTAAACCAGAAACAGAAGCATCCTCACCTCCTTCAAAGGGTTCAGACAATGCCTTATCTTTACGAACACGTAAGGAAACAAGGCGATCAATACCAAATCGGCGTAGAATTTCATTACGTGTATTAATAAACTCTTGTAAACGTAAGAGTGATGGACACTCCTCCAAAGCTTTACGACGTTTGGTAACCAATGCCCGTTTCTCTTCATACTCCACACGTTTATTCTGTAATACTTGTTGAGAATACATTTTGGTGTGTTCATCCACTTCAAAAGATCTACTTGGGGCTTGTGTGGTAAAGAGTGGTTTTCCTCCCATCTTTTGCAGTTGTGCCGGCACCTCACCACTGCTGCTTTCACTGGTGTAATCTCCCTCTTCCAGTAATGTATATTGACGGTAAAGTGCAATGGTTGCCGCACTCTCCAGTAATAAAGTCATGGATGGTTTATAAGACATAAACATTTGATGTCTTAATAAAACGGCATTTTCTTTTTCCCATGCCGCCAATTCACGATGCGCCTCTCGTAAGGCAATCTGTTCTTTACTGGCCATCACCTCCGCTTGTAATTCCTGTTGTTTGCGTGAAAAGAATTTAGCACGACTCTTCGCATCATCAATGAGTGTTTGGAAAGATTCCCCTTCACGAAGATAGGGCTTTAACATCTTTTGTACACTATCATCCTTGAAGGCATCCCGCAGTTGGGCGTGAATGGCCACACGGGCAGTGAGAAGATCGGCATTTTCGGATTGGAGGAGTTTCGTAATGCGATCGGCATAACGTTCATTCTTTAATATCTCCGGATCTCCAGCGTAATATGTGCATTCAGAAGAAAGAACGTTTGCGAGTGTAGCTAACGATGCACTCATCACTTCTTATCTCTCTTTCTTTCTTTTTGTAGAAGTAGTTGATGATGATGATGATGATGATTTTCTTTTCTTTTCTTTATTTTATTTTTTTTTTCTTTTCTACTTTTCTTTTTTCTTACTGTTCTTTCTTTTTCTGTTTTTTTTTTTTCTTGCTTTTTCCTCTGTTTGTATTCTGTTTATTTTTCTTTTCTTCTTCTTCTTTCTATACACGTTCAGTGAAACAAACAAACAAACAAAAAGAGAGATATCCGCGGTAGGTTATATTGCTATTTCTACTGTTAATAAACCAATTCAATTAAAAAATAAGAAAAAAAAAAGAGAGAAAGAGAAAGAGAGAGAATGAATAACTGCAGTTAACCACATTCAAAGTAGGAACTCCATAAATAATAAATAAATAAATTTAATAAATAAATAAATAAAAAAAGATGATGAAATTAAATATGTGAAGAAGATGGTCAAATAGATATCGTCCCCAATGGACAAATAAACAAGAAAACACAACAAATACGTAAAATCAAGGAATTACACACACACACAGATATCTATATATGTACAGATACATATATATAAATAGAGATAACAAATAAATAAGAAATAAAATAAAATAACTAAATAAATAAACATCACTTAAACATATTTCGATGTTCCTCCCGCTCCTCCACGTCTGGGACCAGCGGTGCCTCCCGCACCTCCACTGTCTCCCAATCCCACTGCTCCATATCTTCACAATTCTCCACCGGAAGATAATTCACATCCCCGTGAAAAGGAACAGAGAGTTTCTCTACAAGCGGCTCCACACGTAAATAATCCGCCACTGCCACATCTGCGGCTGCCAATTCTACCAACATTCCAGCAAGAGCCACAAGTGTGTAATCCTCACGTTTAATCGCAAGCGCCGCCGCACGAACATCACTTGAAGGATCCCCACCACTACTATTACTATTACTATAATGATGACCTTCTTTATATAATGATGGACACATCTCTGAAGAAAAAGGGGTACAAGGATTCTCTGTTAAACTTCCTCTTCTTCCCCTTTTATTATTATTATTATTATGACGATCGCCTTGTGTCCATGCATATTCCGCTTCTAATATATCTGAATGTCGTTGACTCACACGCATTTGATCTTCTGCTAGAGTAGTGATATCTCCTGCCATGGTGTTGCGTTGATGTCTGGAATCTCTTGATAGTTTCTCTCGTATTTGATAAGGTTGAAAGGTTTCCAGCACGAGTGTTTGCACGGGTGAAAATCTATAATTAATTTCCGAGTCTATAAACAAAATACGATTAGAAGAAGTTTGCATATCTGCTGCAATACGAGAAAGATAATCCTGAAAATTCACACGGGCTGCCGAATTCTGCTGACGTCCTCGCGAGCCCGCATTCCCATTCCGTATACCAGAAGTGGGATCCTCCACAATTCTGTAGAGACACGGGAACTCATGATGGTTTAATTGTGTGATTTGCCATCCACTAGTAGTATTACTATTACTATTATTAGTAGTAGTAGTATTATTGGTAATATTCGTAGGAATAGCCGCACTAGCAAGTGTAGGGGGAATGAAAAGTGTGACATCACAATGTAAACGTCTAAGGGTTTCCGCAAAATATCGGAGAAATGGACGGCACTTTATTTGCCCGGGAATACGTGGATGTAAAGCCGCAATAGTGCCATGCAGTCGCAGTCCAACAATCAGGCGAGAACTCAATTGAATAGTGGGAACATTAGAAGATGATGGAGTTAAGACATTACCACCAACAGTCATTTAGAAACCTTTATCGTAAAAACCAAAAACAAAAACAAAAAAAAAAAAACGGCAGGAGAGTTCCAGTGTTTATTTCAGATACTGGTAGATATATATACAGAGAAAAAATAAACAAATAAATAAAACCAAATATCACTAAAAACTAGATGTATCGCTAAAAAAATATATATATTTTCCTTTGCTTTAAAACAGAGGAAAGAGAAAAGACAGCCACTGTAGTAAGTGCCTTGAAGAAGGAAGCAAAGAATAATAAAAAAAAAAAAAAAAGAGAGAGAAGAAAAGAGATGAATACATATAGAAGAATATATATATAAACAATTAGAGTCCAAAAGAAGTATAAATGATAGTATAAACAGAGAGCATTTTCTTATACTTTTTTCTTCTCCAGTAAGAGAAGTAAGAAATTCCACATGAGTATAAAAAAGTAAGAAGGTTAATATGAGAGAGGGAAGTAGAAAAAAGACATCCATTGAATTTTAAAAAAAAAATGCAAATTGACTTCTTTTTTTTTTCCTTTTTGTTTGCTCTTATTAAAGAACAATAATGAAAAAGAAAAAAAAAAAAAAGAAACACACTGTACATAATGAGTGCATCGCACAAGCGAGAGACACTCAAGAGTTTTGATATCAATATCGATATCGTAGATTCTCTTCTTTCCCACTACATCACTTTATTGCGCTAATAATAATAATAATAATAATAATAATAATAATAAAAATAATAAAAAAGAGGATTGATCCTATTTCTATCATCAACATCAACCTTATTATTTACGACTCCCATACTATCTCGCAGTAGCAGGAGTATCAACAGTCGGAATATGTTTTTTACTTTTTCTTCCTGTTCCAATAATAAGTGGATGAAGACGACGTGGCATTGTTCGTAACATCTTACGGTAACGAAGATCCATATCTCTTTTCACTTGCATGCGAAGTTCCAGAGATCGTTTGGTATTTAATTCCTCCCTTTCCTCTTCACTCACATCCATTACACCATTATGATCCCTTATCCCTGCCGTTGAGCGTGTAGAAGGTGAACATCGCCCTTGAAGGCGTGAGGAAGATATAGAGGGTAAAGAATTCTTAAAAGATGAAAGAAGTGAAGGGACTGCCGCCGCTGCTGCTGCTGCTGCTGATGATGATGATCCTCCTATTCCTCTTTCTCCTCCTCCTATTATTGTGAATGTTGTTGGGGTTGTGTTGTTTGTGTTTGTACGGGTTCGTACAGAGGAATTGAAATGACTAGAGACGGGTGAAGGCCCACGATGGGCTAATCGTGATCGGGATGGTCCTGGACTACTCACACCCGGTAAAGGTCCACGGGAAGAGAAAAGATCCACTCCACCAACAGATAAAAGAGTCATGTAATCATCATCGGGTGAGACTAATGCAGTGGGATTGGGTAAAGGCACAGATACAGTATTGCGATCTGGAGAAGATCTACTCATTGTATTATCCATCGTGGTATTATTAGTATTATTATTACTATTATTATTATTATTATTATTATTATTATTATTATTATTATTATTATTAGTGCTACTGGCGGTTAATTGAAGATCTTTCATTCCACGTGAACGTTCCGCAAGAGCACGAAGTCGAGCCACATGTACACCATATCGTACACGTAAAGGATATCTATCATCAAAGAAATCATCAGGAACATCTTGTATAAAAGCAATTAAAGCATCTTCTTCATCTTTTGTTTCTCGTGGTAATTCATATACTTCTCGTTGGTAAAACTCCCAAGAACTATGGCTTCTAGCAAGTTGTGTTAATATCATTGCATGTTCTTTATGCCTCTTTAAACGTTTCTCTTGATAAAGCATAGAACTTTCAATCAATCGTTTATGTCGTTGTTCTTTTTCAATTCGCTCCAATGCTTCTAATCGTTCATTCATACTTTCATTTGCTTTTGTTTGAGCTTCTACCAATGCGACAGCAGCTTTAGCAACAGCCTGTAAGGAATCAAAGGTAGGTGATGATCTTCCATTTGTTTCTGTATATAAAGAGGAATCTTTATTATTCCATATGTGAGTTCCAAAGGATGTCTCTAATTGATCTCGAAGTTTCGTATTTTCTTCTTGTAGAAGTAATTGTTGTCCTTTTTTATAAATAATGGGAAATAAATGGGAGGGTGGGACAAAACGGAGGGTTTCCGCAGATTCCATTTCCACTTTCCGCATAGCATTATAAAGTAAATAATTATCCGTATTCTTAAAGTTTTTCATCCCTAAACGAATAATCTCCGCATGTGAAATACCACTAATCTCAGAAATAAGCGGTGGTGGAGCTTGAACAAATGTATCTCGTAATTTCTGTACACATTGTAAAGTGGCTTGTAAGAAACCCGAACCTCTTTTTCCTCGACGACTACAACAACGAAGAGAGGCACTAAAGATCGGTCGTCTCGTTAAGGAAGTTTGTGTTGTTTGGGAAGTTGTATCGGATGAACTCACTCTTGAATGATGTTGAGCACTTGTTAGAATACTCTCACTATCTTCTAATAGACATACTCGGATTAAACACCAAACTTCTACATACTCCTGTACAGAAACGGTATTTAAATCACGGAGAAAAATAAATGGAAATGTAAAAAATCGCTCAAAGAAAGTTTCAAAGTTTACCAATTCCGTCGTTCCACGGTATACCCATTCTTCCTCTGCTATGTCAATACTAGTTGCGGCATATCGTGTAGGGAAAAAGAGATTTAATAAATTAAGTACAAATTCCACATATGTTGTTTTGGTAAGTAATCCTTCTTCATTTTTTGGAAGTAAATTAAATACATCCCGTACAGCTTGACGAGTGAGTGTGGAATTACGATGTAGTAAATTCCAATTCTGATAAGAACGATCTGATTGCTGTGAAGATGGAGAAGGTGTAATACCTTCCCATGTTACTGGGGGCATAATACTACTAAGTTGAACACGACATGTTCGTGAACTAAATTTTGTGATGGCATTATCACGTTGTAATTGCAATAATGGAAGTGAGAATTTGGGTACATGCTTAAGAATCGCATCATGATGGACTGAAGTATTATTATTAGAATTAGTAGTAGTAGTAGTAGTAGTAGTAGTAGTAGTAGTAGCATTATTAGCATTATTAGTATTATTATTATTAGTATTAGTATTAATAGTAGAAGTGATAGAAGTAGAAGCCATATCCGCATGGGCTTTATCGGATGCTAATACTGGACGACCCACAACTCCACTCGTACGTCTTCGCTCCTCTTCATGTAGGGCCCAACAAACAACTTTATAACGAATAAAAAGTAAACTCTGTCGCCATGCTCCAAGGTACTTTCCTTGAACTTCTCTATTATTATTATTATTATTACTATTACTATTATTTGGTATACTTTTTCGAAATACCTGTACACATAGTGGATCTTTTAAACATGCGGGATTCATATCACGTGGAATGGTAACATTTCCTTCTCCCCTTGTGGCTGCGGCGATGGTGCCATTCACATCATTGCGAGTGACGGTCTCTTCTGAGTCTAATATAGATGGCCACATGGCCTTTGCTGGATTAGGCCAAAGTCGAATATATCCTTCTGGTGGGAGTTGTCTATTCCATATATAGGATAAACCATAGAGACGATTATTTGGCTTCTCATCATCATAAAGCTGTCGAACTTTATGAAGGATTTGCTCCGCTTCCTCTTCCTCATTTTTACCAGAAACTAAAGTGGTACAAATAGCTGTTGTACGTAATGTACGAAAGGCAGAAACTTTAATAAGAGAATTTGGATGTTTGGTGGCCCATGGAATATCATCATCTTCCAGAGAAATATACTGTGAGGATGAAAATATAGGCGTTCCATCATCCCACGCCGCAGGTGCAAGTCTCTCTGGGAAGTTTTGCAATGTATACATCTCCTCACGATAACGTTCAGTTGTGAGTTTTGTTATGCGTTCACGGTAGGCATCATCTAATACGATGAGTTTCCACCATGGAAGCTGCCGTTGATGCTCATCAAACATCTACACAGCTTTACAACACTTAAAAATGAAATTAATATAGAAAAAGAAAAAAAGAAAAAGAAAAAGAGAAGGAAGAAATATCACGTGTACGATATATATATATATATATATATATATTTGAACAGATGTACATTGATAGATACATAGATACACTTGTATATATATATATATATACGCAGAGAGAAACAAGGGTAATCATAGCAACAAACAAACTAACTAATAAAAAAAAAGAAAAAAAGAAAAAATTCCTCGCTCTTTACATGTTAGTCCCCACTTTTTTTTTCTTTTTCTTTTTCTTTTTTAATCCTCTTACAAGATTATTTTTCATTATTTATCTGTCGCATGTACGTTTCTACATATCCACATTTCTCCAAAAGTCCAACATTCAACACTCGTCTAGACCGTGATGCGGCACACAACGCCTGACACACTTTCATCCCATCTACCAACATGACTGTTCCTTTCTTTTCTCCTTCTCTTTCTCTTTCTCTTATTATTGTTGTTGATATTGTAGAAATATCTGTTAATGCGGCCAGACGTACAGTTGCGGTTGGAAACTGTGGACTATACCAAGCAGGATCACGACTTCCATGCAGAGATGCACTCATTGTAAAGAGACAAGAGAGTACATGACGTGGACGTAGTACGGTATGCAGGGATGTAGTATCATAATCTATCGCAGATACAAACAAACAACTATTATTATTATTATTATTATTATTATTATTATTATTATTATTATTAGTTGATGATGATGATGATGATAATGTTGAGGAAGTTATTACATTGAGTGATGGGATATGTAGCATTCCTCTACCATTTGTACAACTCCCTTCCACAAAGAGGACAAGAGGCACACCAAGACGCAAACACCGCTCTTGTTGAAGTTTATAAACATCCAATATACATTTATTATTATTATTATTATTATTATTATTATTTTCATTTCCATCTACGGCAGCCTTTAAGAATTCCAGAGAACCTGTATTGTAAATATGCCACCAAACACGCCAACGTTGCAGTGGCGATGGTTCCAATGCCTTCAATACACTCTCATCACTTTCTTTCTTATCATCTCCTCCTCCTCTTCTCCTTCTTCTTCCTTCATCTGCGGCATTCCCAATGTAAAAGGCGACTATAGAGAGTGGAAGTTGTAAACTCAACTCCAGTACACACATATCCCACACAGATTGCATATTAGCAATCACAACATCACCAGCCTTTAGTCTTAAATTCTTATTCATCCCTACAGATGATGATAATGATAATGATAATGATGATGATACTCCACCAATTCTTGGTATTTCTCGCACAACAGAAATATTACCAAGCGCCAATAAAAGTGAACGTAATAACAGTCGTTGACAAGGTGCAAATAAAAGCAATGACAGAAACGATAAACCGGGTATAATAAAAAAGATATATACCAATACATCCAAGAGAAGTAACAGCAAAGAAATTAAAAACGCCACTGTGAGTCGAAATGGGAAGAGTAATGCGGCAACCACTACAGAAAGTGTGGTTGGGGTTTGCAATAGCACAAAAGGATTAATACCAGTAGCGGCATCAGCGTATTTTCTATACTTTTCCATTGCCTAACAAAATTGACTTTCTTCTTTTTATTTTTATTTTTCTCTTCTTCTTCTTATTATTATTATTATTATTTTTATTTTTGGTTATTCCTTGAATACAAATAAACACAAAACAAAAAGAAAAAGTTGTCTAAATAAGGAGTCACACATAGTTAATCCCCAACAAAATGAAATCAAGCAAAAACAACAACAACAACAACAACAATGTACCAAAATGGGGAAAAAAAAAACAAATATACGTACGACAATTGCGGCCATCAAGAAATGAGAACAGACACTAACTAACTAAAGAAAAAACAAAAAACAAATTAAGAAAAGAAACATAATAATCATTCCTTTTATCCCTTTTTTAATTTAATCATGAGATGCATCACTTTCTGTGGTTGAAGACTCAACTGCCGTAATAGGAAGCATCTCATTAAAGTAGTGATAATCAATTCGTACCTCATTACTATCAGGTTTCATACGTACCATCTTGTTGGAGAAACGATAATGCGCAACAATGTCACTCATAGTGTACGTACGCTTTGCTGTAATAGTAGCACCACTCTCCATTTCAGTAGCATCAAATGTAGCCACTAATTGAAAAGAACGCATGGAATCTCCTTTTTTCCCTGCTAATGTCTTTCCTCCTCTTGGACTCGTTAAGGGTGTAGAAGACATGAATGGATTCTCCTCTCTATTACCTTCTATATAGCGATATAAGGGGCTTTGTCGATCAATGGTGTGGGTGATATTTACTGGAAACCATAGTGAGAGTTGTCCCTCTCGAGCTTCCAAGTATCTTTCCTCTGAACATGTCCATCGCACTTCTTCTACACGAATACATACACGTTCAAAATCATCCGCATCACCACTGTTCGCTGCAGCCGCTTTTTCTGCTGCCAGACGACTACCTTCACTTGGGTTTGTCTTGATAGAAACAGTTGAAGTATCGGAAGAAGAAGAGGAGGAGGGATTTCCACCACTGGGTGGATCATGTGATTGCACAACCGTGTCGGGGGCGGCGGAGATGCGAACCCGTTGTTTACGTTGTTGTTTTTCAACTTCTTTCGTTCCTTTATTAGTTACATCATGTTCAGATTCGGATTCTCTTTGTGGGATTTCTCCAATCTGAACCATTGTTGCCTCTGCAGATGTCTCGCCCTCACGTTGGGATGTCCCTCTTCCTCTTGTTCGTGATGTATTCTCTGCGTTATCATCAACATTACGAGAAGATAGTTTCCCTTGATGTCGACGGTGTTTTGGTTTTCCGGATGATTGTCTACCACGTTGTTCTCTCGTGAGTTTTTCAGAAAAGGCAGCTGCCAATGCTGGATCCATTTGTGAAACAAAACTCATATTTGCTCCTTTCTTTGTTGATTGTAGTTCTTGCAGACGATCTAATGTCAAGTAGGAAGAGGAGGAATTACCACGTCCACGATCTGAAACTTCTCCTTTTTCTTGTTGTGAATGATGATGATGACGATGTTTGTCTAAGAGTTTCCCATAATACATTCTTGACATTTCTTTACGTCGTAGTCTATAGTCTTTTAATGGTTCAGCAGTGATAATAAACACACGCAATCGTCCATGCGCCAGTGGATTCTCACCAATACTATTTGCCATACGAAATGTAAGCCTCCAACAACGATCTGGTCGTCCGGGTACAGCTGTTAATGAACAGAAATCACTAAATACAACACGCTGTCCAAGTCTACCACTATATTCCGCTTTACTCACAACAAGAGCAGCAACCATTCCAACAAATATAATATTCGCATATGATAACATCATTACAATCACTGTACGTCCAGTAAAACAAATATGGCCGGGTTGTACCATCGTATCCGGTTGTTCGCCAATGTAACCACCGTTAGCGGCAAGACTCACAACACTAAAATAAAGCGCTTCAGTCAATGACATACCTTCTCCTGCCCCACACATGGTACTCCAACCAAGATATAAAGCAGACGAAAGAAAAAGAATCGTTACATACATCAAAATAGAGTACGTAATGAGTACACCCCAAGATAGTGAACGTAATGCGTAAAAAATAGAAAGACGCGCAAAATGAAAACGTTTCACGCCAATCTCACGGGTTGTTAAGCGGCCCTCTTCATCAAATACACGAACAATATTCTCCTGTTGTTCAGGAAATGTATCAAACACGGAGGACAAATGAAGATCAGGGTGAACTTCCACATTTCGCTGTCCAGGTTTAAGCGATAGTCCACGAACTTTTTTCTCACCGCTCGACCTCATAATATTTTCAAATTATTTATGCTATTATATCTTTTAAGTTTTTTTTCCCTTTTCGAATTACAATGAGTAAATATAAATATTTATGAGAATATGCTTCCTAATTTGGTCAAGCCTAGCACAACAAAAAAAGAATGAAACAAACGAGAACTGACCCCATTCCAACACAAATCAATTACCCATCCAAACGCCATAAACCATAACGGGTGGAAAAAAAAAAAGAAAACTGCCTTCTCTTCTACCGGATTACTCACTTGGTAGGACATACGAAGTAGCATATTCCAAGGTCCTTTCCTCTCCAGACCCCTAAGCTTCCCTTAGCCAAGTTGTTGGACCACAAAGCGGTACCTCACGACAAACTATCAACTGGGTTGACGCGCAACCGAACGTACCCAAACGATGCTTGAACTCTGCAGGAGTCCAAGATCCACAAAATCCGATTCAATTACCACAAGAAAGCGTACAACCTTGCACTGCCTTTTTTTTTTTTCGCCGAACCTGTCAACCATGCATTATCAACTAAGACCTGTATGTGCGGGGGCAAAACATCCAAAAAAGGCCATCGGGGTAAGCCGAACCGCCCTGGACTCCGCCAGCACTACGAGAGCAGTGCGGTGTCCTCCAATTGCCCCTGGCGATTTTGATCTCCCCTGATCGCAAAAAGATTATATTCCCCCATCCGTGCAACGATGGCGTCAGTAATGAAAGTAGTGGAAACCCGATCTCTTCTTTAAGAGCATGCTTCCTGTTGCGGAGGGGTGTACGTAATTATTTACGGCCCAAACCGATGGTCCACCGCAGAAGACCAGCCAAGGAAAACAAGGAAAGTAAACCGCGGTTTAAGGTGGATACATGTCGACGCACTGACTTGAAGAAAAAGAAGTAAAATTGGCCAACCAAACCGCAAGTATTGCCTCGCTGCATACAGCAAACGAGACTCTGGCTCCTCCAATTCCGTCACCGTCCACATCCTCACAGCACGTGTATCCCGCAGATTGGCGGTACACTTGCTGTCGAGTGCAACAGTGTGAGACCTGTGATCAAAAACCACCCCACACAAATTGTGCGTGAGTTGCCCGCACTCCGCCGCACGATGGATTCCCTCCATCAGATCTGTCTTCTTCGACTGAGTTTGGTGAATGCCTTGCGCCTCCTCTTTAGGCGCGGCAATCAACCTCAATAAATCCTCTTGCAGGGCACTCAATGTTGATCCATGCGTTCACATTCCTGACTCACCTTTTTCCTGTACTTCTTAAAAGCTCCACACTGACCTTGGAACCGCACCCTCCGCTGATGGAGAAGCTCCTATTGCTCTACCATCGCAGCCGCCCGACTCGAACTATTTTGCTGCTTCACTGCCGCCGCTCTCTGCCCCAGTAATGCCCATTTACGTTGGAATTCTTGCAAGACCTGTGAGTAATCTCTAGCAAACGCATCACACCAAGCCGCAAGTACACCCTGTTTCCACCCAACGCTTCAAATTGCCGAAAGAAGTGGAACCAAAACCCGGACCTCAAAATTGGGCCAACCAGGAGTACGCAAATCCATCACCCAGTCAATTATGGACCAATCAAACCACACTTGCACTCAAGCGCCGTCCTCCAAAACGGAGTTCAACTGCAATAATCGGGGGCGCGGGCCTCGCATCTTCACGCCGAATCCCCATCAATCATAATGAAAACCACTTTGTACGTACATTTTGGACCATGTGACGTTACAAACAGCTCCCCAGGTCAATCCACTCTGGGACAGAGTACAGAACCATAGTCACACTTGCAAATATTCTGCACAAAAAGAAAAAAAAAACCTAAATGCTTTCTAATAACTTCATCCAGAGTGAATCCCACCCAAGCTTAATCAAATCACAAAAACGCAAGGAAACACTAGAACATCCCATCCACCTTAACTGTACCAGACTCATTACAGATGTATATTATTTTCACAAGTTCCTAAAAGTATTTCATCGAGTCATCTCCCTCGGCTATTTTGCCCTTGAACACAAAGGAAACCCCTATGAAATAATAACAATAAAAATAAATAGGTGGTGAAGAGAGAAACAGGTTTAAATACGCAGCTCCCATAACTCATGTGGCCTCACAGTCGCACAAAGCACACACAAACACAGGCACAAATCACACATGCCTGTAAAAAACATGTGGGAAACAGAACTTGAGAAACCTTTGGGTAAAATCGCGTACATGTGCCCCTAAAGAGTCAAAAATAAAATAAACCCGTCCTCAACCTGTAACGTTTTCTCTTGTTTTGTTTCCATACAACCTCTAACCTTTCATAGAAATAAACACCCCACTCAACCGGCTTCCATTAGAAAGTCAGAAGATCTATATATGCAGAGAGATGGGACAAAGGCAATCAGGGCGACTATGACACCTTGCTAGTACCATGGCCAGCGCCAATGCACCTCACCCACGCTCTGCCCTCACATTGCGTTTTTTTTTTCCTTTATTATTATTATTGGCACCCCTTTTAAAGACCGAAGTCAAATGAAATAAATAGAAACAAACAGAACAATAAACGGAATAACAATCCGGATGTCTGTGGAAAGCAGAACCCCTAGGTTCAGTAGAAATCACACATGGAGGCGACAAAGGCCAACATACCACGAACGCTGTCGCACAGGTGCAGCTTGTTTGGTGCAATCGTCTTGATGAGCGTGTGCAGCGGCACGAGGGGGCCACTCACGTCAGTCAGCAGCTGCGGCTTGCCCTCGGGAAGGCATGACAGTGCAAACACAGTGAAACAGCCCATCTTCACAAGATTCACAATAGCTCGCTTGAGCTCCTCGTGCGTGTACGGCACGACCTTCTTCTCGCCCGCCGCGCTGTCTGGTACGAGGGCCTTGCAGGGGCAGTTGGGGTTATGCTTCATCAACAGATACACCTGCCGGACAATGCCGAGAATCAGTGTGTACAGCCAGCAGAGCACGGCAATCCCGCCAAGGCGTGACAGTTCTTTCTTCAGCACTCCGTGACCCGCCAGCACAGCCTGGGGTTCGCTGATGCAGAACACAATATGGAACGCGTGAGAGATCTGCTCAAGGCGCGACACAACGGCGTCTTCCTTCGGCTTCGCGACGCTCTCCAGTGTCTTGGGCGAAAGTGCGTTGAAGATCAGCGNAAAAAAAAAAAAAAAAAAAAAAAAAAAGGAGCCAGAGATGCAGAAACAAATAAATAATGTATAACTTTAGTTCGCCTACTGACAACAACCATAATCCTCTTCAGCCACTAAAACTGCTACTTTCGTTGTTCGTTGCTTTTTTTTTTCTTTTTTTCCCATCCATCATCAATGTCGTCATCAAAGATTTGTGTTTCCTTTAACACTTCCCTCCATCCACATCATCTACATCTTCCTCTTCATCAGCTGCTGGAGGTGCCTCATTGCATTCATCGGCATTCTTAATAATTAAGCGTATTTTCCCATCTGCCACAAGTACAAGTCCAGCACCATTTTCATGACCAACATACGCACTTGTACTGAATATTGTAAATACCCGAGCACTTTTGCTAAGCTTCAACCCATCAGACTTTTCCTGATGAGCACGGAAGATATAATCATAGTTGTAGTGAGCAAGAAAGTCATCCACGGCAACGGAGCCAAATAGAATAATACCCGATCCACGCGGATTAGCTCCAAATCCCCACTTATCAAGTACACTCTCATCATCTGCTGGATCTGCCCAACATGTATCCATAGCCATCTGTCGACACATACGCTGCTGCGCTGTCTCCTCCTCGGAAGCTTGAAAGAAAGACTCAAAAACAGGAAAGTCATCACGGCTTAATATCTGTAATCGATCATCTACACCACCACGATATCGGGGAATACCACCATGTGTGCAAAAAATACGTCCATCAATATTAGCAGTAAGTGGTAAATAGGCAAATGTCTCACTCGCACGATGCCACAATTCTTCGCCTAGTGAATGACCGAATAGATTGCGACATTGTGCACGGAAGCTGGTACTACCGTAACTAGAGATATCACCACTAACGAGAGTGTCCTCGTGATTACCACGTAGTAGCAACACCTTATCCGGTGCTAATACCTTCATAGCGAAGAGATATGCTACTACTTCTACGCTAAATTCTCCACGATCTACATAATCGCCAAGGAAGAGAAATCGATGTGGGGTATATCGTAAATCTTGAAATGAAATAAGATTGTCTAGAAAGTAAAACAAGTCCCAGAAGTTACCATGTAGGTCTCCAAAGACGTAGCATGGTGATACCATACTACCATGACGTGGTTCACTCTGCAAAATAGACTTTACCTCAGTACAAAGACTACATAATGTACGACCAAAACCTTCAATATCAGAGGGACTGTGACGGCATCCATTGCGTACCGCAAAATTTTTCACAATATAATGGTATATGGCATTACCATATGAAGAAACAGGAGAGAGGGAAGATCCATTATCTAACATCTGTTGATGAAAGGCTTGCAAAGTACGATGCGAAACGAGGGCATCCGGATCTAATGACATAGCACGCCTATTCAACAGACGACCAAGACTTAACTGACGAAGTTCATGTCGACTGTTCCTCTGCCGTCCATACGACTGTTGTTGTTGTTGTTGTTGTTGTTGTTGCTGTAAAGATGTCAATTGAGAGTTTGTTGCATTGGGATCCTGTGGTACAGGTTCATTAGCATCATCACCAGCGGTGATATCAAGAGACATGGAAGGTCTGCCTCCACCTGAAGCTGCTATTGCAGCCGCTGAGGCAATACTAAGTCCACGCATATCTCCATGTGTGCCAATGGATTCCTCTGTACTCATGCTAGGTGATCGATCTACGAAAAGACTTCCTATGGAATGACGGGCTAATGACTCGGAGTCATCACGTAAGAAGGATGAGGCTACAACAGGAGTATCCGCCTCACGAAGATCAGGACGCATATAACTCTTGTCTATTACAGATGAGAGAGGAACGGAGATGGCAGTGCCATTCTCAATCACCATAACGGAGAAAGAAACAGTATAGTGTCCATGTTCCGTTCCAGTTTCAGTTCCTGACGGTTGTCCATGATTTAGTTCATATGATTGTCGATGATGCGGGGAAGAATTATTCACATCTACGCGTCTGTTAAGTAATGTTAGTTGTTGTTCTTTTTGTTGTAATTGCTGCCGAAGCTCATCCATCTCTTTCTGCATATCCCTATTTTCCTTCTGTAGCTCAAGTAGGCGTTGCACAAGTTCCTCCTTGCACAATGAGGAGAGTTCCTCTATTTGGCAAGACATCCTTTCCTCTTTCATTTGACTTTTTCTCAGCAGTCGAGAAAAGGCGATATGTTTCTTTTTTTTTCCCTTTTTGTTTTCTTTTCCCTATTGGTGGGATTCTTTAAATCCACAAATGGCAGGAAGAAGAAAAAAAGAAGAAAAAAACAGAGAGAGAGAGAAATGGAAAGAAAAGGAGAATGTATGGGTCCATTTTTGCCTCTTCGAATATTGCAATGGCAAGGAATATATAAAAAAGGAATATAATAAGATTTTTAGTGTTTCTTTATTTCTCTTTTTTTTTTTTTTCCACAGTTAAATAATCAATATCTTACCTTTTTTTTTTTTTGAAATAATCCATGCTGTTCTTATCATTTTTATAAATCAAACGAAATCACTCACAGAGAGTCTAAGAAAGATCTCTCATTACTTGTAAAAGAAAAAAATAAAATAATAATAATAATAATAATAATAATAATAAT